GTACCCTAAATATTACGTAGGTGCCATATTATAATAGGGATCCAAAAAGGGACCATAATTTTGACAACCACCCATATCTGTAACCCCCTAGAAGGTGACTTTACTTCCTTTAAAGCGGCCTAAGCTAAAGCTCCTCAGAAACACTGGACCTTGCGCTGCCCTGTACATGTTTGAATTTCAGTCCAGCCATGCTGGCCCATAAGAGCACATACGGTAGTTTCCCAAAATAGGGGGACCCAATATAGAGCCCCAAATACCATAGTCCTTAATATTGGAACCCTCAGAAAGGGCACCCCTAATTTTGGGAAATCCTAAACCCTAAACAGTAGTTTCCATTATCCCTATACAACCCCCAAAAAGGGTACCCCTAATTTTGGGAAACCCCCCATACAATCTTCCCTTGCTGAGAGCCTTCCTTCCATGAACACTTCACGCAAGGCAGCCCTCACATCATGCCCTGAGCCGTCCTTGTAGTGCTAACCCCTAACCCTTAAACCCTCTATGTACATGTCTCTCTATCTATCTACATATCTATATCTATATTTCTATATATCTATAGATGAACGTATATATGTATCACTAAAACCCCTTTAAAGGGACCTCAAGGTACCCAATTTGGCCTGAAACCCCCCCCCAGCCTCGCTCAACTGCTCCTGAACGGCCCGGCTGTCGCCTCCAAATTCCACGTTGCCCCAGGTGATCACCTTGGTAGAGGGTTTAGGGTTTAGAGTTTAATGTTTAGGGTTTAGGGTTTAGGATTTAGGGTTCAGGATTTAGAGTTTTGAATGTGGGGTCTAGGGTCTAAGATCTAGGGTTCAGGGCTTGGAGGAGATGAGTAGATTCGTGGAGAACCATGTTGGAACAAGAACATGGAACATGAAATGAGCTACTGTCTAAGCTCCTAGTATCCCCCTTAATAACCCCTATAGTAGTCCCCTATATAATCCTCTATATATCCCCCCTTTAAGGAATTTAGACTATAGCTCAAACGGAAGCCGGGGCTGGTCTTAGCCTACTGGTGGCTAGCAGGGACTGAGGGAATATCACCCGTAGATGATCCCGCTGGAAAACGTTCCCTTATTCTCTGGGTTGGCCCCTAAAGCCCTTTGAAAAATATTAGTATATAGGGTCCCTTATTAAAGCCATTAGGGAAAATATTAAATATCCCAGGGGCCTACCCACTTCTCTACTACCCCTAAGCGCTAAGCCCCGCAGTAAGCTAGGGGTTTTATATGGAAGGCGAGGGATCATTTCTTAAGCTTCTGTAGTGAAGCTTTAGGGTCAGTATGCTGTTGAGGGCTTTAGGTTTGGGTTTAGGATTTAGGGCTTTTTTAAACAACCCCTCGGACTTTTAGGGCGTTTAGGGTTTAGAGTTTAGGATCAGAGCATAGGATTTAGGATTTGGGGTTGAAGGTAAGCAGGGTTTGGGGCTGGGGGGAGGATTCAAGATTTACTGCTCAGGGCTTGGGCATCCCTACGCCATTTCTACAGGGGGTAGAGAGTATTGGCAATTAATTATTCAGGCTTTTACATGGGGGCTATAATATAATCCCTGCCCTAAATTGAGGAAGAAACTTCGCTACATGGCTCCTACATGGAATGCCCTGACAAATAACAACTGACTCAGGAAGCACGATTTTGGCCCTGAAAGGTATGTTGTTATAGTTATAACCCTAAAACATAAACCCGTATCTAATAATTCCGTATCCCATTTTTATAGGTCACCAGCTGACTACGCCCCGCGGACCCTCCAAGTACTTACCGAACGCCACCCTTTAGAAGAAAAGCATACAACCCAAACTCAAACTAGGTACAATACAGTGTCACTTGTAGACTGTCTGGCACAAGTGAGTAGCGTTTCCTAGTAAGATTATACTCCGTATATAAAATACTATACCCCCAAAGGAGGATAGAATTTCACTCTATAATGGGTACCATAATATCCTTCAAATCAAATACTACCCACGCGGGGATTTCTAGTTTAGGCTTCAGGGCAAAGCCTGAACTCTAACCGCTAAACCGTGTACTTGGAGGGTCAGGGGACTTAGTAAGTAGGTTAATAACCTCTATAACCCATATAGTAACCCTAGTTCCCCTAATTATTAACCTACTTACTAAGTCCCCATGACCCCCCAAGTAGTCTGATGTGTGTGACCCAACGACCAAAAAGCTGCGCACCCCCATGACCAAAGCCCATAAACCTACTGGTGCTTAACAGCTTAGGATTTAGGATTCAGGGTGGGGGGGAATGGCTCCCTGGAATCTTGGAGACTCAAATGGGAAAAACATGGAAATGAAATGGCAAGTCATGTTAGATGAGGATTTCAAAAAAGCGGGTCCCTGTTTGGGGGTCCGTGTAGTGAAGGTTGTACTCTTTTGGGAAGACTCCAGTTCCTGCAAATAATGTAGGCCCGCGAGTAATAAATCCCATCCCCTTAATAGGGACTGTAATAGGGATCCAAAAATACGGCCCTTAAAAGGGTGGTTTATTAACCACAGGTCTACATTAGTCATGACTATCTCGAAAATCTTTAGCTTACAACAATGCAAGGATCAACAGGGTACATTCAGGGACTGACCCCCAATACCCGAAACCCTAAAACCCTAAATCCAAGTCGGAAACCTAAGTGAGGCATGATAGGTCCGGGGAGGTAGTCGCGCACCCTGAGCCCTCAGCCATCCAGCTTCAATCCATGACCCTTCTCCAGATGATAACCCCAGCGATCCCTGAATTCAAATCCTGAGCACCAAGCCCCAAATCCTGAAACATAAGTCCCATAGGGCTATGGATCCCTAAGCCGTACTCAGACAGTTAAAAAATGGCAGATATACCGAAAGATTAGCTACGCAATCCGTTTTAAACGGTACATAGGTTACTCCAGGTACGCACTAGGTAGGGAAATGCCCACGCTATAGCCACCTACAGTATTGCCCTACAGTCTGCTAGAACTACCTCGCCCCCACAGTATGTAGAATATTTGTGCGTCTCTCTTCAGTACTTGTTTGGGGGCTGTGAGCTATTGCTTTACTACTACTTTAAATGCCAAGCCCCAAGCCATTCCCTAAGGGTCCGAACTACAGCATGATCATACACACCTCCAAGCCTAAGTAACGATTTTCTGCATAATCATCCGTAAGTATATAGTCGTCTCCCAAAGCAAGGGCATCCTCATCTAGGCCCCAGAATACTATGAGCATATGAACCTTATTTTTGGGACTGCCCAAGAAATATCGCTCCAAACTTTGGGAAACCCCATATGCTAACTCCTGGTATCCCCCTTGGTAACCCGCATAATAATCCCCTATATCCCACTTTAAGGAGTTTAGGCTGTAGCTCATATCATCTTAAACCCTGAACCTTAAACTCTAAACCATCATCCCTGATATGATAATTTCCCTACATAGGGGCACCCCAATATAGACCCCAAAATACCATGGTCCTTATTTTTGGGACCCCCAAAAGGGTACCCCTAATTTCAGGAAACCGTAAACCCTAAACAGTAGTTTCCATTATCCCTATATAACCCCTGTAAACCCCTTTAAGGGGACAAGTTTGGGAAACTACCATTTAAATGTAACTAACCATTTCATATGAGCCATAATCTAAACTTCTAGTATCTCCCCTAATAACCCCTGAAGAAATCCCCTGTATATTCTCCTATATAACCCCCTTTAAGGAGTTTACACCATAGCTCAGGACTCAGTATACTGGGCGCTTAGGGTTCTGAGTATCGACGAGACGCGAAGCCGTCAGCGCGGAGTGCAGCGAAAGCCGCGGAGGTCGCCTTGGCTGAGTTGCGGTTAAGGAATTTGATTCAAAGGGTTTTGGGTTTAGGGGTTTAGGGTTTAGGGGTTTAGTTGTTTAGGGTTTAGTTTAGGGTTTAGGGGTTCAGGGTTTAGGGTTTATAAATTTTGGGGAATCCCTATCATTTACGGTATATATATATATATACACATTCTGGTAACTTAGTTTAATTACTTAACAGCAACCCAGTTGAAGTCTACGGACCATGCAGCCCATTACCTGGGGCGCTGAGACAGCTGCGTAGGATAACTAGGGTTAAATGTAGCGATTGGATTCAGATCCATGCGATAAAGACTCCCCAAAAGAGAACCCCACCCAGATATCAACAAACCAGAAAGGACAGTCCGAGCACGACATCAAAATCACCCACCCGGAACCACAGAACACTGCTTCGAACTTGGGGTGTAAAAGCCCTACACTCAACCCTAAACCCTAAACCCCAAGCCTTAAACCCTAAAACCCTAAAACCCCCTCCGATGCCTGGATGCACCGCACATCGTGGAGCTGCGATTGAACCTGAGCGCGAGGCATGGAGGGATACAGGGGGGCTTGACACATGGTCAACTTCTAGGACCTATATAAGGGTTTAGGGTTTAGGGGTTTAGGGCTTAGGGTTTATAGGGATTGCTCGACTCAGGGAAAGGCGTCCGACTGTTCGGGGAGTGCATTAAGCACAAGAGGACAAAGAGCTATAAACAGCTGACAAATGACTTCATAGCACACCTTTCCTGTTTACAGGGGACTGACTAGAGCACTTGTTACACTAACGTCAAACTATAACATCAAAAGGACACTGGGGGCCAGAGGACGCTCCCGCATGTCCCAAGCATGTGCGAGAGTGCCTTTGCATGTCGCCAGTCTGAGCCACGCATGCAGCCGCAACAAAGCTCCTTGTCAATAAGAGGCGCGTGTCAAGCTGCGTACTCGGTAAAGTCCGCGCTCTCAATATGTCTCCTGTCTTCTTGGTAAACGGACACCTTTGGAGGTCAGGTGTCCCAATAAGAGCCACACGAGGGTTCATGGCACTAGCTTAGGCCCGCGTTAGTTCCATCGAGTCAAGTCCATGTTCCGGCAGACTTTTCTATCTTCCTCGACAAACGCATGATCCCACACGACGATGCTAACCAAAAAGGGTCCTATCAAGCCGACTTTCCATTTTAAGGGACCTAAGCTTTCAACCCGAAATCCAAGACCCGAAGCCGCTAGTGATGGGGACGTGATTCGATTTTTGTTCGTCGGGCCATGAACTCTACATCCTGCTTGAAAATCGTGTAGAGTCCTCTGATGAAACCAAACTCAACATACGGTGGAGTTCGTACATCTAGGGTACCCTAAACCCTAAACCCTAAACCCCCCCAAAAAAGACGTATCGTGGACATAGACGCTCAATTGCATTCCACAGGAACCGGCTCCAAGTTCACCAAGCATCAAAACTAATCCTACCTCCCCAAGCCCAAGGCTGAACCCCAAACCCTAAACCCCAAGCCCTACACTGCCGGGGTTTAGGGTTTAGGGTTTAGGGACCCCTGAACCCCATAAACCCTGCTCGGAGTTCCGCCCAGGTACGGCGCTGCTGTCGCCTCCTGATCCAGCGAGGCCCCAGGTCACCACGCTGCCGTCGCCTAGGCACTATCCGAAGCTATGCTGGGTTGCTGTGAAGGAACTTAAATTAAGTTACCATAATGGGTATATGTCGTAGATAATTAGGTTTCCCCAAGAAAGTAGTTTAATTCAAGTTCCTTTACAGCAACCCAGTATGCTTCGGCTCAACCCGCCAACTAGGTTGCCACCGGGCCAAACAGCGTGCCAGCATATGAGCCATCGCAAGTATCTGTAAACACGGTAACACAACAATACATATGGGATCCCTTACAAACCTTGACACATTCCAGTTTCCATGTCATGCTCCAGCTTCTTTTTCCACTTAAGTCTCCATTAGGACCTCCCTGGCCATTTGCAATAATACCCTGTGCAAGAAGAAGCGAGGCGGTGCGGAATGTAGCTCATCCTTCGGGTTTCTGCTTAGGAACTCTCTGGTTCCTTGTTGCCTTCTCCATTATCTCAATATAATCCCAATCTACACTAGCTTTTTCCTTTCAAGCAACCAAATTCTTGGTTGCTTGAACCCTCTGGGTTACCCTGAGGGTCAATTGGCCAAGTGTCTCATGATCGCCGCAAAAGCTTCATGCGTCCGTTGCAGCTGTGCAACTGTGCCCTTGGCTTGGGCTTGCTGGTGACAGGGGCTGCCCATCTGAACTCTAGTCTAAACTCCTCACAGGGGGTTCTATAAGGGGTTATATAGGGGACTACTATAGGGGTTACTAAGGGGGATACTAGGAGTTTGGACTGTAGCTCATGTAGGGTTTTGCAGGACTCAATGTTCAGGTCAGAGCTTGGGGCTGAGTTAGGCTAGAGGCCAAAAGATGCACCTACACCAAGCTCTGGAGTCAAAAAAGCCAAACAACTGGCACACCCCACGTCGCCACTTCAAGCAAGTTTGCAGATAGGGCCCTGTTCTCAAGTATGACTTCTCAAATGAGCCCTGAGAAACCCTTTGCTTAGCAATGATGGGTTTAGGGTTTAGGGCATAGGGTTTGGGCTAGATAACAATGCCTCAACATGTTGTAGGCTATCAGGCCTGATCAACAATGTTTGACAGAATCAACCACCAACTATATATGTGGCATGCATTTGGGGCTCAAGGGTCTACCAGAACTATATATGCATTTACAAACAACTACCATATATATATTATATGTCTACATACATTGTGCCTGAATCCCTTGGAACGTCCTGAATGTTACGGAAGCAAGCACAGAGCCAGTCCTCAACCCATAGTCTCCCCCTCATCCTGCCCGACATAAAAAGGCGTCCGCAATGCGATTCCCAGTGAAAGTTTGCCATCAGCCTATGCTGCAAAACCTTGTAAGCTCCCCACACGCCTCATTTTTAGGGTTTAGGGCTTAGGGTTAATTAAGGGTTTTGTCCAGGAACGTTCGCAAGCAATTCTTGAACGCCCGTACCTGGGCATCACACTCTTTGGACAACATCAGGTTCACCCCGGGGCACCAGAAGGCATGCTTGGTCCCAAAGTAGGTATTACTTGCGGATTTAGGGCTTCCTAATGCCCGAAACCATGGGGGCGTGTGGAAACATCCCATTTTGAGGGGCTTTCCGTGACGGCATGGGATGGCCTAGTCTGCCTTCCAGGAAAAGAGATCAGAAATTAAGGTCTAGTGCTAGGGGCTTGGGGATTAAGATTTAGGGGTTGGAGTTTTCGAGTTTAGGGTTCAGGGGTGGGGGTTGAGAGAGTTTCTGCGGCGTAGCTATGAAGATGTAGCAAGCGTCTCTGATTTTGTGCACTTAGCAGGGTTCTCAAAAACGGAGAAGGCTTTATGTAAAAACGTGGGGATCCATGGGGGTCGGAAGGACGTTGTACAGGGCCAAGTGCAGGATGGTGCAGGGGATTGCTTCAAGAAGTTTTTCATAGGGTTTAACTGGGTTTAGGTAAATCTCATCTACAGCACGGGGATGCTCACCCCCCGACGTATTCTCGGCGGTATGCTTTAGCCTTGGGACTGCTTTCGGGGGCCACAAGATGCATGCGGAAATACCATTCTTCTACTGCTTCAAGCCGTGAGAGGTTCTGAAAGCTCCTGCCCAGATCGTGTCCATGAAAGTCCCATTTGTGGGGTAATGTAGACCATGGTTAACATGTAAGGATTGGGTTTAGGGTTTAGGGTTATATAGGGATTATGGAAAAGAAAGTGGAAACTACTATTTAGGGTTTAGGGTTTAGGATGTAGACCCATGATTAATAAACCCCCTCCTTTTAAGGGCCTTAATATTGGGATCCCTATAAGGGGAGGGGGGTTTATTAATCATGGGTCTGGGTTATCTGGGATCAATAGAGACTACTTGGGGGATTCTAGGTTCCTTGCCCGTCTTGAAGAGCGACCCATTGTTTTTGCACGTACTGCCGGATCCTCCAGCTCACTTCAGATTCACTTACCCCAAAGATCCCGATGCAAGGGGGCCTTCGCCGAGGAGAAGATCGGAGCACGTTTTTTTTGAGCGAAAGTTCCAAACAGCATCATATAACGAGTATTCAACCTCGGCACTTTATGATGGGAAGCATGGTTGCTATCATGGGCAGGGGATCTGCAAACCTTCAGAATAGTCCTTTCAACACAACAACGTGTTGAAGATTGCCGTGACATGGTACGTTGTCAAGGAAATTACAACTTCTGCTTGGGTCCTCATTCGACTCATTTGCATATGTCGTCGAGTTTCAGAGTAACCCCGCCCTCAAGTGAATGTAATTTTGACAACCCCTCATATGCACTTTGGACCTGGCGGCTGTCCCCGCCACTTTCTGGAAGTCCCCAAGTAACAACAGAACCATCCTGGCGGAAGCTGCTTCCGATTCTAGGTAGCTTTAGGGTTTAGGTTTTATTCTTTTAGGGTTTTATGGAAACATGCGTGTCACCCAGAAAGGGCAAGTGTCAAGGTATAGGGTATCATCAGGCCATAACTCGGGCGTTTCCCTACCTATAATCCCCCTTAAGTAGATGGAATATGGGGTATATGGGAATCTTATTCTAATATGCCCAATTCTATCTACTTAAGGGGGCCTATGTTCCCCCAGTTTCCATTTCATTTTCCATTTTCTTTTCCATTTGATTCTCCATTATAGGGCATAGTAGGGGATTATTCTACCTACCTAAGGGGGACTACAGGCAGACCTAAGGGGAATTATAGTCTGGCTGACAGATTGACAGGTACCAGATTCGAGGTCCAGGGATAGGGGCGTGAAGCTGCCAGGAGGTAGAACCGCCAGGTTTGAGCGTGGGCTTTCCGACCCTGACACCCCTAACCCCTACCTGAACCCCAACAGTATGCAAAATAATGGGCTTTTGGGCTATATTTAGGGGTTTAGGGCCATTATTCTACCTACTTTGGGGGTTTAGGAAAGCCCCAAACTCTACACTCTAAGACCTGGACCCTGAACTCCAAACCCTGAGCACTAAACCGCGTGGCGCAGGATCTTAGGGCTTACTGGTTGATGGCTTTGGCTTCGAGTGTAGGACTCCTGCAGAGCCACTCTCACCCAAAGGACCTGAGGTTGAAACCAGGGACCCCCAGTATGGGCCCTTGACCCTGGGATCCTCATCATAGCCTACGTTACCCTGGGGAGGAAAAAAGGATCCTTTTTACATAAATATAGGGAACCCCATACCCCAAAAAGTATAAAGGATCCCTAACATTGATCCAGTCATATACCCTATATGTACCCTTAAGGCTCCCTAGAATCCCCCCAAAAGGCCTAAGGGCCCATATCAGGGGCCCAAACTTCTAACCTTGTGAACGAACGAGGAGCCCTGAAAGGGATCTACGAAGACGACAGGCCCTTTAGTTTTCGTAAGCTTTCGTGGTAACCGTGGGCTATATGGGGTTCCATGCTAGGTTTTGGAGATGGTAAATAGAATCCCATGCCTTGTTGGCCTGAATCCGCCATCTCAATAGCTTTTCGCCTTATTTGTTGGTTTCCCCATGATTATGGGGTCCGTTTTCTCGGGAGAGCATAGTAAGCATTAGTATCTATAGAGTCTAACCCATTTCTCAAATACCCTGTCAGCCAATAAAATGTCTGCTCATCGGACTCACGAAGCATGTCCGTCAAACAATCTTGTTTGTCGCAAGAACGACCATATCTGCTTTGTGGGGGCGGATTCGCACACTAAACAACCATGCGTTCAGTCTCCAACGATCCACAAGCAACACACAATCACCTCTTTGATTCAGATGCTCCGAACCATAACTCCTAGAACCGTAAACCTGAACCCCAAAGCGTCCTCGCAGATTGCGGCGAATGCGCCCTCATTGGCCTGGCTCTCTTGAGATATGGTTCATACTTCCGGACAACGAAAAGGCGTCAGTCGGTCAAATAGTGAAGCCCGGGTCCGAATCTGTACAAGACATACTGTTGCCCCAGTTTTGCCAAGAGACTTTGTTTAATGATGTTTGGCCGCCTCTTGAAGAGTTTCGTCCTGTTGTTTCACGACTCTCTATTGCTTTGGGGCCCTCAAAATAAGGTAAGCTGCAAAGTTTGAAGCCCCAAGAAAGGATTTAAAAGGCAGCCCTCTTAAAATCCCTTCCCAATTCATCTTAAAATCCCTCCCCAGCTCAGCCCTCACACCTATCCAAATATCAAGTAATTACAATATCTTGAATCTGAAGCCAAGTGGCTCTATTAGAAGCCCTCTTTCAATATCTTAAGAATCCTGGCCGGAATCATTTGGGCAAAGGGGGTAGTCCAGCAGACGCTTCGTGATTGAATAGTTACCATTGTTTGGAAATTTTCTTGAATCCATCATCCCTGGGACCCAGCAAACTTGATTTTGAGATTGCGATAAAAGGATCTTAAAAAGCAACCTTTCGCAATCCTTTCACAACTCAGCCCTTACAGATACCCAGCATCCAATGAATTACCAAATCTTGAACCGGACGCCAGTTAGTTGTATTAAAAAAGCAGTGTCGAAACCTTAAGAATGCTAGCCCAAGACCAGCCCCTTTATTTTTTAATTTTTATTTTCTCTCCAGAGCCCTAACAATCACGTGAGGTCCTGAAGCAGTTATTGAGGATGCCTAATTTACATGTTTCTGTCGGGCCCGATTGTTAGGAGGAGGGGGGGATCCCATACACGAAAAGAGTGCAACATCATCGTTAGGTGATGTAACTTGGATTAAGGAGCACTGTTTACCTAAGGGGGGTTGATAAGGGCTCCAATGGTGGATGATAGAGCGGCTAAGCGCGCTAGACATGTTGCTTGTTGAGTGTTGGGAAAACCGATGTTGAAGTTCAGCACAGGCGTCGAAAGGATGACTACAAACAGAGCTGACCGTTTGCTGCTGACAGCTGCTTGAATTTAATCAACACTAACACTTGCTTGCTCCTGATATTTCATGATATCTCACACGGCCATTCTTCTATCGTTGAAAATGCCCCCTCACAATCCTCAGGCTCCGGTAGGGCATATTTCAGGGATATACGCAACATTGGGCCAAAGGCCGCAGTCTCTGACAGAAAACTGAGCCATGATGGAGCTGCTAAACTTCCGATGTTTCCGTTTGCATACCATCCCTAAACCCTAAACACTAAACTAC